TGGACCCCATCTGTCTGCGGTATTCTTCGAGCCCGATCGACCTGTGATGGTCCCGGGTGCCCCAAACCCAGCGAAACACACCCGTCGCGAAAACTCTGCAACGCCCGGATCTCAGGGCCAATCGGCCCCCCTGTGGAAAGCACAACAGCTTCTGACAATCATCGGCGGCGCGCCCAGGGGCCTTCTCAGAAGGCTCGGCTGGCTTCTGACCTTCTGAGCAGTTTTCCAAGCCTCCTCCGAAGACATGGGCGGCTTCTTTGAAATTGTGACGGTTTCTGAGAAGCCCCGCCGCCCACTGAGAAGGCCTGCCGCCTGTCATTTCCACCCCTCCCCAGGCTCGCCGCCGAAATGAGGGGAGGTCCCTGAGATCCGATGTTGCGAACAAGAATTCAACATCGTGGAGCACCGCGACTGGAGCCCCAGACCCGATCTGCCTGCGCCATTTTTCGAGCCCGATCGATCCGTGAGGGTCCCGGAGCCCGCCTCCTCCTCCTCCTCCTCCTCCTCCTCCTCCTCCTCCTCCTCCTCTCTCCTCCTCTCTTCTCCCTCCTCCCTCCTCCCTCCTCTCTCCTCCCTCCTCCTTCCTCCCTCCTTCCTCCTCCCTCCTCCTCCCTCCTCACTCCTCCCTCCTCCCTCCTCCTCCTCCTCCTCCTCCTCCTCCTCCTTTGGGCGGAAACGCCCAGTGTAGAACAATTGCACCGTCCGGATCTCTAGGGCCCGGGATCCCCCGCTCCGGAGGAGCTGCCCCCCTGCGAGAGCGTGCTGGCGGCCTCGGCCCTGCTCGGCTCCCGGCAAGCCTTGAGTTGGGCATGTCCTTCTATACAAGAGGGGTATTCAGGAATAGGCCAAACATAATATGGGGACGATGTTCCGATTATTCTTTGATTCTATATATTTATTTAGATTTAAATATTAACCTGGACTATCTACTTATGTATGACTATCTGTGTTTACATATATATATATATATATATACTTGTATATATATATACATGAGAGAGAGAGAAAGAAAGAGAAAACATGATTTTCAAATTCAATTTAAAACAAGTGTGCGTTGTTTTTCTTCCAGAATGCGCCTGCAGGAGGACGTGCCCGACCTAAGGCCAGCCCCCTCGGGCGCCCCGGGGCGCCGCCAGGCGCGGCGCGGCGCATGGCTGCCGGCGGCCCCCGGCAGCATGGCGGCCCCGCCGCGGCGGCGGCCGCCTCCCCGGCAGGACGCGGGCAGAGCCCAGAGACATCCAGCTCGGCGGCGAGCCCAGAGGGCCTCCCAAGAGTAGGGGGCCACATGTGAACCCTACCCCTACCCCCCACGATTTCTGAGGGGGAGGGTGGGGTTCACCTCGTTCGGGAGGTCACGAGCGAAGTGAACCCCACCCTCCCCCTCAGAAACCGTGGGGGGTAGGGGTAGGGTTCGCATGATCATGTCATGTGCCCTCCTAAAGGGGGCCCCAAGAGGCACAATCATTGATCTCCCCTAGGTGTCTGAAGGATTTGGACGCTCCAGCCTTCTTTGCAGTCCGACGCTCCAGGGCGGCCAAAGAGGCCCCCGAAGACCACTCCCAAGATGGCCCAAGGGGCCTCCAAGAGGGCCCCAGGACGGCCTGAGAGCGCCCCAGGACGGCCCAAGAGGTGCTCAAGATGGACCAAGAGAGGACCTCCTCGTGTTACGAAAAAATCGCGACGGGAGGTTTTTCGCTGTTTTCGGCCTCCAGGGCCTGGGCCTCGGGACTGCCAAGAAGCGGCTCAGGAAGAACAACGGGTCCAGGGGAAGGGGTCCAGACCTCTGGGGGTCGACGCTGTGAAAAAATCACGACGTCGGGGGTCTGGGGAGAGGGCGGGCCTTCTGAGAAGGCCCGGAAGGCCCCTTGCCTTCTGGGACGTTTTCTATACGCTTTCTCTCCGAAGATACCGCCTTCAGAGAAGGCTTGCCCCTGCTCACTTCCCCCTCCCCCCGGCGCGCTGCCGACCAACGTACGGACAGGAATCATCACGGAGGCTTTTCGTCGTTGTTAGCCTCTGAGGGCCCTCACCCGGGTCTCGGGCCCTTCACAGAACGACCCAGGATGACACGCGGGTCCTGGGGAATTGGTCTAAACGTCTAAGCCTCTTGGGTCGCCGCTTCGACAACCTATCACGACGTTGGGAATCAATGGTTTTTGTTTGGGGAAATTGTTTGCGTTCCTCGTTTCCTTGGAACGCCTGGATTACACGCGGGTGGCGATGTGCCTCTCCTCCCTTTTCCCTTGCCCGTTCTCCTCTGGCCGTGCCTCCCCAGCCGTGTCAAGATGTCCTGTAAACTGGCCTGCTTCGGTGCGTGGCGGCATCCGAGCTTTGACGCTGGTTGTCGAAACATGTCGTTCGCGCCCACCCCCTCCCTCCCCCCTGAAAAGGGGCGCGGCGCTCCAGAACGCTTTCGGAGCGTTCTGGGGCGCTCGAGCGTGAAGCCGCGGCGCCCGAGACGTTCTGCAGAGCCGCCGACTCTCAGAGATCCTGTGTCTGCCCTGGTCCGATTTTTTGCCCCCTTCCTGGCTCCACTGGGTCCACGTCGGGCCTGTCCCTCTACGGGAGGAAAATTCAAACATACTTCCCAAACTAGTCAGGGGCGATTCGAGTTTCTGATTTTTCTATTATATATATAACCTACCGAACAATAATAATATTAACAAACATACTATTAGCAGTCTCATTATGATTGTGTGTTCGTCCAGATCCTGCCTGTAGGGGGACATGTCCGACCTAACACTGGGTCGTGTTCACGGCGCGCCGTTCCCTGCACCAGGGTTTTACATGTTCTTGGAGGCGGGGAGGCGCAGGGCCTCTGCCCTCATACACCAGCCTCTGCTGTCGCACCCCTGGGGTGCTGCTAAAAATCGAAGTGTTGTCCCGTCCTGCGCTTAAGCCGGGCCTGTCCCTCTACAGGGGGAATGTTCAAAAAAAGCTAAAAGATAGTCAGGGGACGATTTTTTCAACCATTTTTGGATATTTTTTGGGCGTTCTGTAAGCATTATTTATTTTTCTGTCAAAATCCGCCTGTAGGGGGACATGCCCGACCTAATGCGAGCCTTTTCTCCCAGCTCTGCGCACATCAGACCCGCGACGCTCTGCGCTTCCCCACCAGCCCGTCGAGGAGCGATGCCCGGGCGAGCTGTCATTTGGGGAGCGAGCAACGGCATAAACATAACAACTCGGAGGTCCGCGCGGATTTCTCGGATCGGCGCTCTGGCGCGCGGAGCGCGCCAGGGGCGGCTCCGGAGGCGCCGCCAGGGGGTCCAGCGCGGATCCGAGAAATCCGCGCGGACCTCCGAGTTTTATGGTTATGTCGTTGTTCGTTCCCCTAACATCAGATCCTCGACGTTCTGCGGGTCCCCACCAGCCCATCGAGGAGCGATGCCCAGGCGAGCGGTAATGCTCAGGGAAGAGTGGGAGGCCGCAGTGCACAAGCTCGGCCCTCTGCAGTGGAGGCCCATGCCAAGAAACACCCTGCTTGCCTCCAGGGTGCCCTGGGCCTCCTGGGCTTCGACGGTTTCTTGCAATGGAGAGCGTGGCGCCCCCACGCCCAAAAACCGATGGACGTCCTGGGGTCTCAGGGTTGGGTTTCTTGTGGAAGGTTTCTTGTGTCGGGGGTGGACAGACCTCCTACCCTGACACGTCGATCAAGGAATTGGCCGTTCTCGGTTCGCGAGAGGGGTCGCGGCCGTCATTCTGGCAAATTCAGGTCTGTCGGTTTCGGTCCCAGGCCGTTTTCACTAAGGAGAGGTCTACTAAAGGGAGGTTTGTCCACCGCCGATTGTCAAGGGCTCCCTCGAGGGCGCGAAGTTATTCGCGCTTCGCGCTTCGCGGTCCTCGTTCCTTCTCCTCCTCCTCCTCGTCCTCCTCTTCTCCCCCTTGGGGGGCGGCGCGAGAGCGCGAAGTTATTCGCGCTTCGCGCTTCGCGGAGCGCGAAGCGCGAAGTTGGGAGCCCTTGTCTACTAAAGGGAGGTTTGTCCACCGCCGATTGTGGTCGAGGCCCCCCTGTAGCCAGTCCAGGTTTTGTGCGCGCGGGCGCAGCGTGCGCTGCAGACGTCGGGCGAAGGCCGGGCCCCCCCCCAAGTGTACATCGCGCAGCGTCTTACGTCGGGCGTGTCCCTCTGCAGGGGGAATCTTCAAACGTCGCCCAAAGATAGCCAGGAAACGATTTTTCTCACATTTTGGTTCTGTATGCATCTACTTTCTGCTCTACTGTTCTCCGTTCTTCTCCCGGATTCCGCCTGCAGGAAGACATTCCCGACCTCACTAGATCCTCCAGCTGAAGAGCAGAGTGAGGGGGGAGCCTCGCCAGGGGCAGCAAGCAGCGGAGCCGAGCTCGCAAACGGATTTGCCCACAGCTCCGCATGGCGTGCCACCCCGTGGGCTTCTGCTTCGAAGGTCGCGCGGCCTTCGCCCGCCATCTTGTTGCCCCATCGTGTCCCGTGCTTCACGGTGCGGCTCACACGCCTTCGGCGGCACGATCTGTGAGGCAGCTCTGCGAGGTGGCCCCACGAATGGCCCCACTGGGCTGCATCGTCGCGGGGATGTCTGCCCCCCCCCCCTCTCTTGGATCGAAGTTGCGCTGGAGAAGTATCACCAGCACAAAGGCGGGCCACCAGGAGGGGCTTTCCTTTTCGCTGGAGGCCAGCGGAAGGCCAGCGTAAGCTGGCGGAAGTAAGACGCTGGCGGAAGCCAGTGGGAAGCGGCGGAAATTAAAGCAAGACGTCGCGGTGTTTGCGGAGTCGGTCAGAATGGCCCCACCACGCCCAGATCACCATCGTCGTGCCTGGGTCCCAGAGCCCTCGAGACCTCTATGCCCGTCCGTGGTCTTCTGGGTGGGCAGGGTCTCAAGCTGGCCTCCAGGAGGCCGACAAGGGCTGCCTGACAAAAAAAAAACACGGCAGGCACCGAGAAAAAGCACGACGTCGGAGCCAGGGTAGGGGAAGGACAAGCGAGGAGACCGCGACCAGAGAGCCCCGCCATCGATCCCCCCCCCCCGAGGAGCGCCCAGCCCGAGCGCGCAGGCCCGCGGCGATGGCGACGACGAGGCCGTCGCCGACGACGCTGCGGCGTTCACCGGGTGTCTCCGGACCATGCTGGACGCGAGGCCGCGGGGGGCGGTGAACGAGACCTCCTCGTCCTCCCCCTCCTCCCGCCGAGCTGTTGCAGATCCGTCGTCGGCTCCATGCTTCCAGAGCCCAGGAGGGGAGCGCTTTCCAGGGCCTGCCCAGGTGCACCACCACCGCGGGCCAGTTTGCTGCCGAAGGGGTTAGTTGGGTTGCTGTTCTGGCAATTGCGTCGCAGAACGCATTGCATTTCGCACTGGTGGCGCGCCGTCTTCACAGCATGATTGAGGCGAGCTTTTGCACGAGCGAGACACGACACACCCACATGGTGTCTATTTCGGGTTGGTGTGCAACAGTCTCCCAGGAGGTGGGTACGTAGCTTTCATACGCCACCCCAGGGTGGTCATAGACAGGTCGGCCGCGTGCATTCTCGACCAGGTGTGGCCCATGTCTGCGCGCATGGTAGAACGAACTGGCTCGCGCAGGGCGCAGGCGCGCAGCGGCGGCCCCCGTCGGCGCGCAGGACCCTGTCCTCGCAGAAGGAGGAGGAGGAGGAGGAGGAGGAGGAGGAGGAGGAGGAGGAGGCAGAGGAGGAGGAGGAGGAGGAGGAGGAGGAGGAGGAGGAGGAGGAGGCGGAGGAGGAGGAGGAGGAGGAAGAAGGAGAAGAAGAATAATAAGAAGAAGACGACGAAGAAGAATACTACTAATAAGAATAAGAATAATAATAAGAAGAATAATAAGAACAATAAGAAGAAGAAGAATAATAATAATCAGAAGAATAATAATAAGAATTATAATAAGAAGAATCAGGAGAAGAAGACGAATAATAATAACAATAATAATAATAATAATACGAATAATAATAAGAAGAAGAATATTAAGAATAATAAGAATAATAATACGAATAATAAGAAGAAGAAGAATAATAACACTAATAATAAGACTAAAAAGAATAATAACAAGAATAATAATAAGAATAATAAGAATAATAAGAAGAATAATAAGAATATTAATAATAATAATAAGAATAAGAAGAATAAGAAGAAGAAGAAGAAGAAGAAGAAGAGGAGGAGGAGGAGGATGAGGAGGAGGAGGTGGTGATTGCCCAGAAGCGGTGCGTAATTGCGGGCCCGCACACGAGGCATTCAAGAACGGGCCTCGCCCTCGAGGATCAAAGGAGTTGCCATCTCGTCCTCGGCGGAAGGCGGCGGAAGGTCCTGCGGATCAGGCGGCGGAGGCAGAACGAGGCTGGCCTCCGCCAGCGGAAGGCTGGCGGAAGTACGGCCCCCAAAGAGATGGCAGGGTTCTGTGGGTCAGGGTGTTCGGAACCCGCCGCCATTTCCCAGACTGGATTTGTCTCTCTCTCTCTCTCTCCATCCCGCTTCTCTCCTTGCTCGCTGCCACGCCGCGCGGCCAGCCGGCCGACGCCGGAGCTGGAGAAGTGGGTGCGGCGCTGCCTGCAGGACGGGGGGGGCGCCCCCCCCCCTGTAGGGGCGCGCCAGGAGGGCCCGCTGAGCCGCAGAGGGCCTCGGGGCCGCCCGCCAAGAGAGGGCCTCATGGAGTGCAGAGGGGGCACCTGGAGAGGCCTGGGGGTGGCCTGAGAGACCTCGGAGCGCGCTCTTCGCCCAGAGGGCCCGGGGAGGCGCCGGGCTGCCAGGAGGGGTCAACGGCTATGGAGGGCGAGTAGGGCGCAGGAGGAATCAGTAGAGCTCAGGGGGGCCGAGGAGACGCCAGGAGTGTTCTGGAGGTCCCAGGAGACCCGAGGAGGCACCGCCAGTGTTTTGGAGAGGGGGAGTGGGAGGAGGAGGAGGAGGAGGGAGGGAGGAGGAGGAGGAGGAGAGGAGGAGGAGGAGGAGGAGGCAGAGGAGGAGGAGGAGGCGGAGGAGGAGGAGGAGGAGGAGGAGGAGAGAGGAGGAGGAGGAGCAGAGGAGGAGGAGGAGGAGGAGAGGAGAGGAGGAGAAGGAGGAGGAAGGGGGGACATGAAAAGGAGGAGGAGGAAAAAGGGCAGGAGGAGGAGGAGGAGGAGGAGGAGGAGGAGGAGGCGGAGGAGGAAGGAGGCATGAAAAGGAGGAGGAGGAGAAAGGCGAGGAGGAGGAGGAGGAGGAGGAGGAGGAGGAGGAGGAGGAGGAGGAGAGTGAGGAGGAGGAGCGCAGAAGGAGGAGGAGGAGAGGAGGAGGAGGAGGAGGAGGAGAGGCGGAGGCGGAGGCGGAGGAGGAGGAGGAGGAGGAGAAGGAGGAGGAGGAGGAGGAACATGAAAAGGAGGAGGAGGAAAAAGGCCAGGAGGAGGAGGAGGAGGAGGAGGAGGAGGAAGAGGAGGAGGAGGAGGAGAAGGAGAAGGAGGAGGAGAGGGCGAAAGACAAGCTATGTGCGCTCGCTTTATGTCGGACGTCCTACTCCTCCCGCCTATCCTTCCCGCGGCACTTATTGGTTGTTTATCCGCCAGCGGGCATCTCCAAAGAAGACCCCTCGTGTTATGTGTAGCCAGACAATGGGGAGCTGTGTACTCTGAATGAGTATGTGGCGGACGAGCAGGAGGAAGAGGAGAAGGATGAGGAAGGGGGAGGACCATGAGAAACGGCAGCTAGCAGCAGCAGCAGGAGCAAGAGGAGCGAGATGAGCAGGAAGACCAGGGGAAGGCGGGGGAGGGGAAAGGAAGAGGGCGACAACGACGAAGAACCACTCGGGGTCCAGAGATGAAGCCCGCGTGGGGGCGAGAGCGCCAGTCTGAGCGAGCCGAGCGCCGTTTCAACAAGGAGGCTCGCGCTGCAGCGGGTGCTCCACCTTGGAAGGACCAAGGACGTTCGGATGGGATACAAACGGAGGAGGAGGGGGAGGGGGGATACAGGAGAGAGGCGCTCGAGCCCTTCTGCCGGAGACGAGCCCGAACGGTGGCAGCGCCGAGCGTCTCGCAGCTCGGCTGCGGGTGGGTCACTGCGTGCCGGTGGCAACAGCCCGGCGGAGCGTTAGCGCGCAAGCGTCCGCCTTTGGGGCACCCAATCCTGGGCAGCGTCGGCGCTGGGAGCCAAGGCGAGCGCCGGCCTCGGGAGGCAGTGCGGCTGGCCGACCAGAGGCCCGCCCAGGAAGGCGTCCTGCAGAGAGCGAGGGCGAAGCCGACCACGCCACTGCACGTGGTTCGGCTCGCCCTCAGGAAGGCTCGCACTGCTGAAGGAGTGGAGTCTGCACGCTGAAGTAGGGACCACCTCTGGCTCATGGGCCGTCTGGAGGCCGTCAAGGCGTCTTGGACATCATCGTTCGGGGATTCGGGGCTGTCTTGGACCGTCTTGGGGGCCTCTTGGGGCACTCTTGGCCTGTCTTGGGGCTTTTTTGGGCCCCGGGAACCCCTGGGGGAGTCGCATGACCCAGGACCTTCCCCCGGGACCCCCACGGGACCCCTCCGGAACCCCCTCCCCGGGACTAGACCCGGACCAACCCCCCCTCCTGGCGGGGGAGGGATCAAAGGGAAGGGGCTTCCCTTCGAGTCAATGACGACTTTGTTCAATTTTGCTTTGGCTGGGGCGCTTGAGGAGGAGGGCCTAGTGAAGTGGGGGGGGGGAGCGGCGACGGGTCCAGCACTGGAGGAGGAGTACCCAGGGAAAGGGGGGGGAGCGGCGACGGGGCAAGGGAAAGGGGCGCCGCAGGGAAAGGGGACGACAGAGACGACGACTGACGAATGACGAACACGACGACTCGAACGGACAAGCCCCTCACACACGCCGACCTGATGTAAAGCCGTAGTGTGATTTTGCTCTTGTCCTTGCGAGCCAGTCTTGTTTTTCAGAGAAATTGCTTCAGAGACCTACGATGAGGGAACTTGGAGGTAGGGTTTATTGCAACATTGTTGATGTGTCTTGGATTCACACTGATCCGCCTCTCCTCCTCCACCTCTCTTCTCGGCTCGTCTTGGATTCACACTGGTCCTTCTCCTCCTCCTCCTCCTCCTCCTCCTCCTCCTCCTCCTCCTCCCCCTCCACTTCTTCTCGACTCCTCTTCTCTTTTCCCTTGTCCTTGCGCTAGGACCTGGACGACACCCTCGCGCTCGCCCTTCCTGAGTGGCGGGCCGAAGACGAGGGCTGGTCCATGGCGGTCGCGCGCGCCCTCTCTCTGCAGCGATTCTGGGGGAGAGTGGAGGAGGTTAGGGGGAGGGGGAGGGGGAGGGGGAGGGGTGGAGGGGAGGAGAGGAGGAGGAGGAGGAGAGGAGGAGGAGGAGGAGGAGGAGGAGGAGGAGGAGGGGAAGGAGATGGGAGGAGGAGGAGGAGGAGTGTCATGAGTGTCATGATCGCCACAGTGTACGTGGCAGGCGGGACTAGCGAGAGCCAGGGATCAACCGACGCACCACGACGCGGGGAGGAGGAGGAGGAGGAGGAGGAGGAGGAGGAGGAGGAGGAGGAGGAGGAGGAGGAGGAGGAGCCCAGTGTGGTGCAGGTGCGGTCCCAGCATTTTGGAGAAGATTTTTTGGAGCAGGTCCACCGGGCTGATCAAAATTCGTTTCTGCTTTCCAGGCTTTGGGTCCCGTACCCCGATCTTCCTTCTCCTGTGGAAGACTGGATGCTGTTCTTTTTCGGGAGTGACGGGACCCAAGTTGACGAATTCCAATTTGAAGCAGAGGATGACCTGTACACAGACGGGTCATGCCTCCAGCCTGAGACAGAGGAGATTGCGAGGGCTGGTATTTCGGTCGTCCAAATGAGAGGCGACCAGCTAGTTCGAGGAGTTTACAGCCCCCTCCCTGCCCAATTCCTACAGGCTGCCAGCGACGCCGAACATGGTGCGTTGGCGGTGGCCTGCCTCAGGAGGAAAAACCCCACCCCTGAGCAGGTCCCGCAGCCCATTTCTGTCGACTGTGCGTCCCTGTTTCTCGGGACCCGTGACCCTCCTAGGGCCCTGTCGGGGGCGTCCAGGCTCTCTTTCTTTTGGCGTGAAATCTCCAGGAGGCTTCTCGAAGGCCCTTGGGTGGATTTAAAGAAGATTAAGGCGCACAGATCCATTGACCAGGCCGTTGATGAATGCGACAGGTGCACCATCATCGGATCAGATTATGCAGACAAGTTTGCCAAAGTTGCAGCCCAGTGTCAGAACCTTAACCCCCAGGAGTTGTCTGACTTTGAAAGAGGAGAGCGTGAGTACCTCAGTCTTGTAGAAGGTATTACTGCTGTGCTTGTTTGTTTTCCGTCCACCGAATCTATCCATGGGAAGCTCACTAGGCCTACGAAGGCCAAGGTCCCAAAGCCTGAGGGCCCTGAGCACCAGCCTGTTCCCCATGGGAACGTTCTGCGTTGCAAGAACTGTTTGAGGGTTGTCACGGGCTCGTGCAAGACCAAGTGCGAAGGTCCTAACCCGTCTTTGGCTTCTCTCCTGAGGGGGGAAGGGGGTTTAGGACACTCTTTGCACTGGGCTCGCCTCGAGCCGACCCCTGCCACTTCTGATATTCCTGTTATTTTCTGTTCCTCTTGTGGAGGCTTCGCCAGCACCAGGGCTGGGTCACGCCTCCTTGAGAGATGTCAGCCCCCGCAGAAGAGTGCCGAACGGTCGAAACTCCTCAGGGGGCTGCTCCCAGGGACCCCTCACAAGCTGGGCCAATCTTTCCCCCTCTCGTCCTTCCCTCCTCTGTCCTCCCTCGCCCCTCAGGTTGGTCCCAGGCTTGAGGTCCCTGCTGCTCTTCCGCCGCCCCCGCCGCCCGCCAACGTGCGGGACGAGGAGGACGAGGCACCGCTCCTCCCCCCCATCGGCGGTCGTTCACAGTCTGACGACTCGGACTGACTGTAGTCTAGCATCGGCTGATCATGGATTGACCAGGTGCTCGATGGCTTGAGAGGCTTGAGAGGCGGAGGAGGAGGAGGAGGAGGAGGAGGAGGAGGAGGAGGAGGAGGAGGGGGGGCAGGACCAGCAGCAACTAGCATCAGTGACAACCCAAGTAGCAGTGTATGGCAGCCTGTACGTGCAATGTGATAGTTACGCCACTATTCTTTGTAGTTGTGATCACTACCTGGTAGTCTTCGGCACATTCCGCCACCGTGCCTGGGATGAATGTCGGAGGCCCCTCGGATGCCTGTGGGGGTATCTCGGGATGCCTCTCGTGAGCCCCTCGCCGGCGGCTTTTGGGAGTGCCTTGGGGCCTCTCGAGGTTCCCTCTGGGGCTTGATTTGGGCCTCTAGGGCCTAGGGGGTGTTCTGGGCTTCTCGGGGGCCTTTTGTGGGCCTGCTAACGGTCTCGGGGGTCAATTTGGGTTTGAGGGAGAGATATGTCTCCCTCCTTTGGGGTCCTCTTGGCATGGGCTGGCGCTGCTCTGCCTCGCCTCGCCTCGCCTCGCCTCGCCCCGCCCCTCCTCCTCTTCCTCCTCCTCCTCCTCCTCCTCCTCCTCCTTCTCCTCCTCCTCCTCCTGCTCCTGATCCTCCTCCTCCTCCTCCTCCTCCTCCTCCTCCTCCTCCTGCCCCCCTCCCCCTCCTCCCTCCCCCTCCCCCTCCCCCTCCCCCTCCTCCGCCTCCTCCGCCGCCCTCCTGCAGCTCCTCCTGCCCCCGCGACTCCCCCGCCCTCGCCTGCGCCCGTCCTGCGCCCGTCCTGGCCTCGCCCCGGCCCCGCCCCGCCCCGCTCCCTCCGCAGCCCCCCCGCGGGAGGGGCGGTTCTTGGCCAGTTTCGGCCTCGGGGGGCCCTCGCTGGGCCTCGGGGCCGCATGGAAGAACGACTCGGGACGAAATAGCCGGTCCCGGAGGAGGGGGTCGGGACCTCCAGGGGCCCCGCATGTCGGGGGCGGCAAAGAGTGGGGTGATGACTAGGGAGGGGTGCATATCATGGCGGGGGCCATGGTATTTCCCCAGATTTCATGGCGCCTCTTCTTATTTCATTACGTCCCTGGCCCCCCCGCTGGGCCGCGCACATGCCGCCGGTCATGATTTGCACCCCCCCTTTTGGACACCCCCCTCTTGGCCGCTCCCGAGCATGGAAAACATCAGGACGTCGCATGTCTGGGAGGGGATAGGCTCAGGGGGCAGCGCATCGGGCCCCGATCGCCCCCTTCTCGCAGAGAGGGGCCCGAAGGCCCGCCACGTTCAGGAACCTGCGGACTCGCTACGGGGGGCCCCTCGCTGATCCATCGGCGATGTGTCGCCGATTCCAGCCGATGCTCTCCCCCCCCCGGAGTTGGTTCCCCCCTAGCGTTCAGTCGGGCCTGTCCCGCTACAGGGGGAATATTCAAAGTGTAGTCCAAACATCGTCGGGGGACTTTTTAGAGAGTATTTTGGAGAATTGTGGGTGTATGTTTTGGCTCTTGTTGTATTCTGCTTCCCCTGTAGGGGGACATGCCCGACCTAGCCCTGGCGTTGGCCCCTCGCCCCCGCGAGGCATACGGCAGCTCCCAGAGCGGCTTCGGCGTGCGCTCCTCGGACGCGGCGGGGGGCGGGCGGTCGGGAGAGGCGGGCGAAGCGGAGGCGGAGGGCGGGTGGGCCCAGAGGCGGACGCCCCGCGCCGAGGCCATCCGGCCCGAGGGCTCGGCGGTGAGGCCCGGCAGCCGCCCCCCTGCCGGCAGGCAGAGGGCGGCGCGACTTGGCATCGCTCGGACGTGTGCATTTTTCCTTCGGCGAGGACCATCGAGGAGCATCCTTGATCATTTGGCGAAAAAGCCACGCACGAAACCGACAAAAACACAGGGAATGGACGTCCGAGCGATGGCCAGGGGCGGCGCGAGGGCCCTGAACGGCAGCGGTCGGCAGCAGCGCGGAAGACGAGAGGGAGGAAGGCACGAGTCAAGCAGTGGCGAATCGTCCTGGCTCGCGTATGGCCCTACCCAAACAATATTCTAAGAACCTTTGCGGTTTCCACGGACTGTTCTTAGAACATGTCTGGCTAGGTCTGTCTTGCTTGATCACATCGGGCTTATGTTCTAAGAACATTGTTTTTGTTCTTCGAACATTCTTGGGTTCTGAGAAAATTTCGTGGTAGGACTATAGAACTGCCGGGACGGCCGGCCCCTGCTCAAGCGAGGGTGCACATCAGGAGCCGCGCGCAGTCGATGGCCGTCGTCGCCCCTGCGAGCGGCGAGAGGGCAGTGGGCATCCTTGGGCTGGGAGGCCGCGATGCCTGCTGCGGCATCCATGCGCCCCGGCCCCTGGCCCTCGGCTCCGCTCCTCTGGCGTCGCCGGCGCCACCGTCTCTCGGCCGCCACCGCCCCTCCCGCCGTGGCCCCTTCCGCTCCTGCGTGGCGGCTCCGCGGCCTCTCCCCTCCGGTGGCTCGGAGCGGCTCGCTCCCGGGCGTGACCTTTTTCCGCTTCTCCAGCCATGGCCATTTCCACGTTCCCTCTCCACCTTCGCCTCCACCTCCGCCTCCATCCACACTTCCGCTGCCACTTCCACTCCACTCACTTCACTTCAGCCTCAGCCTCCACCTCCGCCCCAGATTCCAGTTTCAGTTCGTTTCCACCTCCGCTTCCACACCCTCCCTCCACCCCCACCTCCACTTTCACTTCGCTTCGCCTCCACTTCCAACCCTACCTCAGTTTCCACCTCGACTTTCACTCCCCCCAACCACCACATGAACCTCGTCTGGTGCTTCCCATCTTCCATTGCCACGGCTTCTTCTGCGCCCACTTCTACTTCAACTTCAAATTCAATTTCCACTTACATCTTCACTTCTACTTACATCTTCATGACGGTGAGATGGTGAGGGTCGGGTCTTGTACAGTCATCCTGAGAGCATCGTCGTCCGAGGGCGATTTGTTTTTTCGAAGTTCCCCAAACAGTGCTTGCACTAAGGGGTTCTTATTTGTCTTCTAAGGGACTAGGCTCGTTTGTCGGGTCCGCTGCATTAATGCCGTTGTCGCCGCCGCGTCACCGCCTCGTCGTCGCCCGTCGTCTGGGCTCGTTTGTCGGGTCCGCCTGTGTTGAACATTATTCCTTCTAAAGAATTATTATTGTTGGGACCCCTGGTGCGCGACCTCTGCGCCGCGCCTAGGCCGCAGCTACATTTTCATCATTTTTTGCGAAAGCTTCAGAAAAGTGGATGAGCTCCGGATCCGGTTTTTTGTTGACGCTCGTTTTCCCTTGCAAAAAACAATAGAAAATGAAAATTCTTGTTCTTACTTGATCAAATTGCAAGAATCCCTTGCAAAAAATAAGGTAAAGTGGACATTCGTGCGCGCAAGACGAAATCCTTCCAAAACCTTAGGTTTCGTAACGATTTTAACATAAAAACATCAACAACCCAATGGTTTTTTAAGAAAAAATTGTCAAAATGTCCTTCCGCGCGCGCTGTCCGAATCCCACAAAACCAATGGTTTTTCAACATTTATGTTACATGAGCTCGCGCGAGCTACTTTTTCTTGTTCTAACATAATCAAATTTCAATAATCCCTTGCAAAAAATAAGGTAAAGTGGACATTCGCGCGCGCAAGACGAAATCCTTCCAGAACCTTAGGTTTCGTAACGATTTCAACATAAAAACATCAAAAACCCAATGGTTTTTCAAAAAAAAATGTCCAAATTTCATCCCGCGCGCGCTGTCCGACTCCCACAAAACCAATGGTTTTTCAACATTTATGTTACATGAGCTCGCGCGAGCTACTTTTTCTTGTTCTAACATAATCAAATTTCAATACTCCCTTGCAAAAAAAAGTAAAGTGGACATTCGCGCGCGCAAGACCAACAAAAAACACGACGATCTCAGGAACTTGCCCCAAAAATGTGACCAACTCCGCTCTCTCTGTCTCTCTCTCTGTCTGCTCTCTGTCTCTCTCTCTGTCTGTCTGTGTCATGTATTGTATGTCACAATTGCAGGATGCTGGGCACACGCGCGCCCCGAATAAGTGACCAAGTTCTGTGGGTGTGTACCCCACGCCAGTGTAGTAGCCACGGTCGTCCGCACGCCACGAAGTGAAGTGTCCCAACGTCATAGGGCGGGAAGCTGGGTTTGGGTGGTCGCGAAGAGTCGTTTGGATATTTGGTAGAGCTTGAACTGCCCCCCCACGAAGTGGGGGTATTGTCTCGCGTCGCATGAAAACCCTGGCACTGGTGAGAACACTGAGCGTTCGGGTAAAATGATTGTTGTTGTTGTTGTTGTTGTTGTTGTTCTCTTTCTTGTAACAGTAGTGGTTGCTGTTGTTATGTGTGTTGGCATTGTTGCTGTTAGTGTTTTTGATGCTGCTGTTGTTGGTGTTGGCGTTGTTGTTGTTGGTGTTATCGTTGTGGTTGCTGCTGTTGTTGTTATTGATGTTGTGCTTGGTTTTGTTGGTGTTGCTGTTAGTTGTATGGTTTTTGTAATGGATGATATTTTGTTGTGGTTGGTGTGGTTATGGTTGTTGCTGTTATGCTTGTGTAGTTATTGTTGCGATTATTGTTGTTGTTGTTGTAGCTGTCGTTGTCGATGCTGTTGTTATGGTTGGTGTTGCAGCTGTTGTTGATGTTGCTGTCGTAGTAGTAGTAGGAGTAGTAGTAGTAGTAGTTGTTGTTGCTGCTGCTGCTGCTGCTGTTGTTGTTGTTGTTGTTGGTGGTGGTGGTGTTGTTGTTGATGTTGTTGTTGTTGTTGTTGTCGCTGCTGCTGTCGTTGTTGTCGTCGTCGTCGCTGTTGTTGTCGTAACAAAGACTGCACCACACACACTGCAACACATAGTAACGCAACTCTTGCGCTATGTCTATATACATAGCGCCACAGGAGATTGTACCAAACACACATACCTATATATATATATACATAGCACAACCTAGATGGCTAGAATTACACTGTTTGGAGCTTACGCTGGCAAACCTATTCCCAATGCCATTGATGCCCAAGCAGTGCCAGGAAACATACACCCAGACTGCCAAGCCCCAGGCCCCGTTCGCCGATCTTGGTCGTGGTCCATGCCGACCGTGACAATAAAGCCACGATAACCAGGACGGGTGGCGGCTGAGATCGGCTCCGACGTGCCGCGTTCAGTCTTGGTCATGGCTTGAGTGGGGCTGAGAGTCAGAGAGTGCCCTCCTCTGCAGCACCACCACAAGGGGGCGTCAAGGGGCTGCCGCAAGGGGGGGCGTCAAGGGGGTGCATCAAGGGGGGCTGTCCAAGCGCGCGGTTGACGCGCGCAGAGTGGTTGCACGCCTTGAGCCCGTTCCTGGGCGTCTGCAGACTCGACCCCTCGGCCCTGCACAAGTCACGCCCGCCGCTTTCTTCCCCTCCAGCTCGCGCGTCTGTGCCTGATCCGATGCCGTGGCTCTGCGCCAGGGAGGGGGGCCGCCGACCATGGAACCCCCGAGCCCGCGCCGCCCGACGGCGGCGGCGGGTGGCGGCGACGCGCGGCCGCTGGCCCCGCATGCCGACGAGGCGAGCCCCTCCTCGGCGGCGACGGTAAGCCCCGCGTCGGCGGCGAGCACCGTCGCCGACGCGCTGGAGCAGGGCGGCGCCGCCCGCCGCGGCGCCGCGGCGCCGCGGCAGCCCTGCGCCGGCGCGGGGATCGGCGGGGGCGCGGCCTCTGCCGTGGCGCCCGAGGCCCTCGGGGCGCCCGAGGCGCTCGGGCTCGGGCCGGCGGCCCCGCGGGGCGCCGCCCGGGCGCTGCCAGTGCCCGGGGCGGCGGCGGCGGCGCTGCCGCGCGGCCTGTCGGTCCGACGGGGGCAAAATCTAAAGGCGCCGAGGCCGCTGCTCGGCCTGGAGCTCGAGGGCTGTTGCCTCGGCTGGACACTCCTCGGGATCCTGGGCAGAGCGCGCCCCTGGGGAGAGGTCCATGGGAGCAGCGGTATATGCGCGCCCCTCGCCGGAGTGACCTTCGCTGCGGGCCCACAGGGGTTCCCCAGCGCCGGCCTGCAGGCTCGGACTCGGCCGCCGCCGCGGCCTCCTCGAGCCGCGCACCGAGGGGCATCCCTGCCCAGGGTCGCTCCTGCGTGCAGCCGATGTGGGTGCCTCCTTGTCTCCCCCCCAGGAGGAGTCGGCGGGTGAGCCTCGGGGGCGCTGGATCTTCGACGGCGGCGCCGACGACGAGCAGGAGCTCTTCGGCCGCGGCGTGCCGGCGGAGGTCGGCGCGCCCAGCGTGCGGGCGGGCGGCGCCTCGGGTGCCGGCGGCGAGGCAGCGGTGAGCCGCTGGGAGGCGCCGCAGTGGCCGCCGGGCGCCGCCTTCGACGCCAGGTGCGCCGCGCGGCGGCTCCTGGGCGGCGCGGGCGGCAGGCGCGCGGCGGCGCCCACGGCCCTGCCGCCCCACCTGCGGCGGCTGCTGTGGATGCGCTGGCTGCGGGTCGTGGAGGGCCCGTCGCCGCGAGACTGGGCCGCGGAGCTCCGCGCTGGGCGGGCCGAGCTCCACAGGCTGGCCCAGCTGGGGGCCGAGGCGGCCGCCCGCGGGGGCGAGTCAGGCCGGTGCGGGCGAGGCTGGGCGGGTGCGGACGCCGTGGGCGAGCTTGCTCACCAGATCGATCTGGACGTGCTCCGCTGCTTTCCGCAGGTGCCGCGCCTGCAGACGTCCGAAGCCAGGGGCGCGCTGCGGCAGGTGCTGCTCGCGTGCGCCTGCAAGCACGCCGAGGGCGGGGAGCCTCTCGCGTATCACCAGGGCTTCCACGAGCTCGCAGCTGCCATGCTGCTTGTCTGCTGGGACGGATCGTGCCCAGAGCCCCCGCCGTGGCCGGCGGAGGCTGGGCAGGCCACGTATTTCGAGCTGTCCTCAGCGGACGCGGCCATCGCTGACGCCACGGCGCTCTTGGATGGGCTGCTGCGCACCATCGGCCTGGCCGAGCTGTATGCGCCGGCTTCATCGCTGAGCGTGTCTGCGCAAGAGCCCGTGGCAATTTTATGTTGTCGGCAGATCATCGCTGGGGTTCGACACGGCGATCCAGATCTCGGACGCCAGGTGGAAGCCTGGGGCATCGAGCCGCACGTGCTGCTTCTCGGGTGGCTCCGCCTTCTCTTCCTGCGGGCCTTGGGCTTCCCAGGCGCCGCCCTCACCGCCTGGGACCTCATCTTCGCCGACTGTGCCGCGCACGACGGCCGACTTCCCGCTCTCACAGGCACAAGCGCCTCCGGAGAAGGTCCTCCGGCACTCTTCATTTGCCTCGCCGTGGCCATGATCTTGGAAGGCAGGCCGTCCTCGCCCGAGCACCTGCTGCGCTTCGAGGAGAGGCCGTGCGACTTCGGCAGGGTCGTGGCCCGGGCCCTGCAGCTGCAGGAGGCCGCCTCCCTGGACGCGGACCATCCGATACGGGCGGCCCAGCGTCGGAGGCCAGAAGCCCTGGCAGCCAGCGTGTCCTACGAGTGGCGGGGCGGCAGGGTCGTCACAGCGCCGGCGGCAGCTCCGCCGGCAGCGGCGCCGGACTTCCCGCGACCGCCGCCGCCGGCAGGCCTGGGGAGCAGTGCGGAGATCACCTCGGCCATGCAGAGCGGCGTGGGTAGCGGGCAGCCCTCGGACGAGGCCCGGCTGTGGGCGGCTGCCCGCGCGCAGCGGCGCCGGCACGGCGAGCGCGTGGAGGACAGCTCCTGGGGCCAGGCCATCGGCTGGGTGGCGACGCAGGCGCAGAGCCTCGGCTCCGCCGCCCACCTGGCCGTGCAGGGCGCGCTGAGCGCTGCGGCCGAGCAGGTGCAGGGTCCTGACGCGCCGCAGGGCCAGCAGCGGTCGCCAGCGCCGGAGAGCGGGCCCACCGGCGAGCGGGCCGAGGGCGCGCCGTGCGAGCCTCCGCTGCCCTTCCCGCGCGGCAGGCCGCCGCCGGCCCAGCTGGACAGGGCCGGCGCCTCCACGCGCCTGCTGCCCTCCGAGCTGTACGACCTGTTCACCAAGGGGCCTGCCCCTGTGCGTGGCGGTGAGTTCGAGCGCGTCGAGGACGCCTCGCAGCCGGGCAGCGACACCAACGGCTCCGAGGGGGCCGAGGACAGCGGCGGCCTGCCCGCGCCCGGTGCACCGGGCGAGGGGCGAAGCACCCCGGGTCTGGGCAGCGCAGGCCCTCAGTGCCGTGCGGCGCAGCTGGGCCCGTTCCCTGTGCCGGCCGGGGCGCGCGGCGGCTGCCCGCAGGCGGCAGGCGAGGCCGCAACGGCCCGCGCGGCGGCTGCCGCCCGCGCGGCGGACCACGACGTGCCCGTGAGGCAGCTGCTGCTCGAGGCGAGGGCTCGGAAGGCGCAGCGAGAGGGCATGCCCTTGCCCGTGCAGGTTGACGCGACGCCTGGGGGCACGGCAGCCGCCCTGCTCCCCCCTGCAGCTGCGCCAGGCGAGGCCATGACGTCGCGCGTGGCGGCTGCCGCCCGCTCGGCTGACCACGACTTGCCTGTGAGGCAGCTGCTGCTCGAGGCAAGGGCCGGGAAGGCGCAGCAGGAGGGCATGCCCTCGCCCGTTTGGCCCGACGCCACGCCCGGGGATATGGCAGCCGCATTGCTCTCCCCTGCGGCTGCGGTGCGCGGCGCTGCGGGCGGCTGTCCCCACCACCAGGCGTCGGAGTTGTCGATCCCATCGCTACCTCCACCTCAGAGCGGAACCGAGGGCGTTGCGGCGTGGGAGGCGGAGGCGCCTCGTCGCGGCGGCCCGGCCTTCATCCCGTCAGCGGCCTTCCAGGGTGCGTGCTCGGGGTACGTGTTCAAGCTGGACTCGCTCGGCATGGGGTACTACCTCGACAGCGCGGCCGCCGCAGCCGCCAGCGCCGATGCCGGGCAGCGCGCCCGGTCCACCGCCCCAGGACGCCTGCCAGCGCATGCCTGCTTCCCGCCAGCCCCCGCTGCGGGCCTTGCAGGGCACTGCGCGTGCGGCGCCGGCGTCGGCGCGGGGGGGCTCGGCATGCCGCCCCGCTGGGAGGGTGCGCCGGCGGCCGCCGGCGACGAGCTCGCTGCCGTGCTGGCGGATGCCGTGCGGCAGCTGGAGCAGGGCGCCGCCTCCCCCGCAGAGGTCGCGGCCGGCCTCCGCCACCTCCGGGCGCGCCTGCTGGCCTCCGCGGGGGCGCCAGGCCGCGGCCTGGGCCCTTGAGCTGGCGCGCTCCGAGGGCGCCCGGCTTGGGGACGACTGGCGGCGT